GGTTGTCAGTCTTCACAAAGTCAAATTCCCCCCATCCTCGATTCAAGATACGTCGCCCCCCCCCCCCCCCTCTTGAAATTTGCCTTCATTTCACATGACAGAAAACAAAACTAGAGATGGCTAACTCATCATCTTTGGGGGGGTGGGGGGGGGGACATTTTGCAATGTATCTGCAAAAAAAAAAAAAAAAAATCTCAGAGTGCGGCTCTCTCGCACATTCCAAAATGAAATCCTCTTCTCTTCATAGATCGGACCGAGGTGGGACACCATGTCGGTCGGCTCCGCGGTGGGACGCCTGTCACGTTAACAGCTCTCAGCTTCGAATTTCGGTGGTGGAGATGATTCGGAAACGGCGGGGATAGGAAGTCCCTTACCTGTTGAGAGGAGAACGTACAGCGCCAGCGGGTGAGCAGAACCTTCGCGTGAAAGATGATTCCGTCCGATACGGAGTGAGGGAGAGCCGACAAACACTCTTTGCCAAAAGCTTTATTTTGCGTGGCTTTTTCCCAAACGTCAGCACCATTAGGTCAGCTGTGACTCATTTCGAAAATCATATTAACAATACATAGCTTAGCATCGCTGCTGATTTTATTGGCCCCGCCCGCCACCCCGCCAAGCGGCAGCATGTCACCTCCAAACTTCCAGGAGAGCGTTCCAACATAAGGAAGTAGGACTTCTTCCATTTCTGTCTAAAAAAGTTGGGGAGCAACAAACGGTGCCAACTTGGATGCGCTTTACCGTTGTCAGCGGATTCACGCGTGCACAGTCTTGACTGCTTTCCGTATGTTGAGCTATCCAATACTGACAAGCCGATCATAAAATCGGATCTCTTTCCCTGAAATTAGCCAAAAAAGTTTTTGGGGTTCATGAGGGCTCCCCCCCTGTCAAATATTTGAACAATCAACGATTCCAGCTTGATGAATGGCTCAGCACTGATTTTTGTCGTATCGAACGAGATGAGAGGCACGTGGCAGGTGCAGGAAATATTTGGTCTGCTTGCGATGCTCACATCCTACTGCGGGATCTGTGCCAACTAGATAATGTTGCTCTCCAAGAGGGGCTCGCGTTCGGCGATGCGGCGGAAGCCGAGCCGGCTGAGGTCCAGCGTGGTGAAGCCGCCGTCCAGGATGAGCTCGGCGACGGCGCGGCCCACGGCGGGCGAGTGCTGCAGGCCGTGGCCGCTGAAGCCCGTGGCGAAGTACATGTTGCTGACCAGCGGGTGCGCGCCCACGATGCCGTTCTGGTCCAACGTGTTGTAGTCGTAGTAGCCCGCCCACGCGCTCCTCACCTGGCCCACAAGCGGGCAAAGGCAAATCAGCGCCTCGGATTTTGGCGGCAGCTTTTACGCCAACCTCGGCTTACCTTCAGTTTCTCAAAAGCGGGAACGCGATGGGCCAGTTCGGGCCAAATTTGGTCCTGAAAGAACTGGTGGTCCACATGGAGATCGGCGACATCCGGCTCCTCTCCCTGACGCCACACAGAGCCACGCTTTGATTTCGCTTGGGATTGGGGCGAGCGAGGGTCCTTCACACCCTCTCCTCCCAACTTTCTTGCCGTTATCAGCAAGTGAAGAAATTGTTCACGATGGCTGCTTCCAACCCAAATGGATGACTGTTCGAGTTATTTGGCCCTTGAGACCTTTTTTGAGCGTCCTCTTAAAATAGACATGGTGAAACTGCTGCCGTGGGCCGATTTGATTTCAAACTTTTGAATGACCTTCCGGCCTAAGTGCAAAACTTTGACGAGGAACGAATTGCGTAAATTGTCCAAACCTCGTCGGGCGACTTGCCGGCGATGTAGTTGCCTCCGAGCCCCTCCCTCCTGAAGTAAACGCCCGAGTGGTCGATGAGGAAGGGCGTGTCCAGTCCGGGCCCCTCAGGACAATGGAACACATAGACGAACCTGAAACGCGGTCAAACAACTCCCAAAATGCACCGTCCACACATCAGACATGATTGACTCTTTTTTTTTTTCTTGTCACCTTTTCCTCGGTTCCACAGGGAGCGGGATTCCCGCCAGCGTGTCGCGGGGTCCGAGCCCCACTCCCAGCATGCGGGCCACCTTGGCCGAGAAGGGCCCGGCCGCGTTGACCACAACGGCGCACTCCACCGGCTGGTACTCCAAACTGCGAGGCATCCGCACCTGACGGGTTGCGCGGCGTTTGGAAGGAGACGCACAACGTTTTGAGCAAGCAGACTGAAGATTTGTGAACGTGCGGGAGAATCCGTGTGTGTTTGGAGGCTCGCGATTGGGTCGTTGGCGCTCACTTGAACAGATTTGATCCGGCGCAGCTCCAAACGCTCGCCGTCCTCGGTCGTGGCCTCGTTGGAGGTAAATTTGAAACCTGGGGAAGGGACACCACGTTGACACCAAGACACCTGCGTCGCGGCTCGTTTCACGTGTTGCGGCGAGTGTTCGTTCGGCCACCGGTGACTTCTCCGCAACACTGGACGACGCCCATGGAGAGGGCCTTCCTCCTGAAGGCGTTGAGCAAAGACCACGGGTCCAACCAGCCCTCGTTCTCCAAACCTCAACGCACACACGCCAGCGCGCAGTTAGGACCAGGCAATTCTCTCCAATGAATGAACGCATCCCTGATCAATGCTTGATGGACATTGAAAAGAGTCATTTTATATCGATTCAAATCATTGAGTGCATAACCGTTGAATGGAGATTTTTTCAGATCGTAAACGATACTCTTGCATTGATCAGGGAGATGGAATCGACCGAGCATTTTAAAAGACGTTTTCACTGTTTTCAAAGAAACGCTTTGACGACAGGCGTACTCACCATACGAGGCAAGCGCCACATCGTGCGTGTTCATCCAGGGAAACTTCTCTTGGAGTTGCGTCGGCGACAGAAGCGACACTTGCGCCCCAGCAGCCCTTGCCAAAGACAAGCGGGTGAAAAAAAACAAAAAAACGCATTGACAAAAACCGTTTGACCGCAAACGCAGAAGGCGAGGCGGAGCCTACTTCTGCGTCTTGTAGTTCTCCTCCAAGACGTGCGCCCCCTTGTGGCTGGCCAGGAACATGTAGCCCGCATGGTTGAAGTGCAAGTCCACGACGTCCTCGTTCGGCACGCCCAAGTGCTCCTGCGGAACGGGACTCCCTTTTACTTGCTCGCTAGACTCATGAAGCGGCTGCGTTGGCCGCCGGGATGCCGACCTACGTTGATGTTCCTCAGGAAGTCGGCGGAGGCCAGCGACAGGCGGATGTTCTCCGGCAGGGAAAACTGCTGGCGGATGCCCCCGGCCGACAACACCGACGACGCCTGCGAGTACTGACGCCGGAGTACGAGAAACAGCAAGAGGTGCTTTCTTTTATTTCAAGGTCAACATTTTTAGAATTGACTGTCACCATCGTCATCGTTACTTTGAATGAATTCACCGGTGTCTTTTTTTTTTTTACACGAGTCTTTGAAAATGTCTCTCATCGTGAGGCCACACCAGAATTTAAAATGTATTTTTATAATAAAATACATCTCTTTGAAAACATGGCCCAAGTCAAAATGAAGCTCGCTTGGACATAGTTCCTCCTTTTGTGTCGGTAATGCTCCTCAACTCACGTCAACATAGTTCCTTGGCACAAAGACAACACGGGATGTGCCAAAGCGGCACTTTTGTGTCTATGATGTCACTCAATGTGTCAATATTTTTTGGGCAAAAAAACAAACAAATAAGGGAAAAATAGCTCAAAGCATGTGTTATTGAGTCTGTTTTCACAAAATCACATAAAATGTGCAAGTGTCATGAAGAAAGTCTTCCACTTTGGGGAGGTTCTACGACAGGGATGTGCAGCTCCAGGCCTGGAGGGCCGCCGTCCAGCCTGTTTTTCGGCCCTCCCGGCTGCAGCGCACCTGATTCCGATGAGCAGCTCATCAGCCAGCTCTGAAGCAGCTTTAGAACGCTCCCGATGATTCGAATCAGGTGCGTTGCTCCTGGGAGAGCTGGAACACAGGCAGGACGGCGGCCCCCCTGAGGACCGACTTTGGACATCCAACTTGCACTCACCGTCGTGTCCTTCTCGACCACGACGACTTTGAGCCCCCCGCGGATGCCCTCCTTCTTCTTGAGCCAGTAGGCCACCGACCAGCCCACCACGCCGCCCCCCACGATCACGATGTCGGTCCTCTCCGGAGGGAGGTTGGGGTTGATCTCCAGCGGGCTCCAGGCGCTGCCCGGCGCGGCGTCCGCCACCTTCCTCCTCGCGGCGGCCAACTTGGCCTCCAGATCTCGCAGGTAAAACGGACACATTTTAGCAATACTTCGTTGTAAGGTCAAATTCCTGATCGTAAGCATTTAATTTGAGTCTGTTAATGAATGGTTAGGAGATGCGTTTACACTCATGAACGTACTTATCACTTTTTGCTTATTTGCTTCCATTTTATGTCAACCTGCGACGGTGCCCCAACCTTTAAAAAAGTCATTCCGGAGCGGCGTCCCGGTGCTCAGGCTTCGGGGGAACGGAACGAGTCCACACCGCCACCGGTGGTCCGGCGCGACCTGTCTGAAGGTGAGCAGAACCCGAAGCGTCCGCACGGTCGCACGCATGCTGCGCCACGTTAACATCGCGCTGCCTTCGCTACCTCACACGCTCGAGGGAAGCTTGCAAATGTGCCGAAAACATTTGGGTGCGGTAGAAATTTGCAATTTGGCAGAAACTGGGTAAACTCGCTCGTTCTGCAGAACACTACCCACGTTTCGATAAAATAGGGTTAGGGTGAGGGTCTTCAAAATAAAAGCACAGTTTCGCTGTCCCCCTGTCTCGGTCGGTGTTTGGGTGAAATACTCACACTTTTAAACTGAGAATTAATTTGAACAATTTCAATAAGACACTTAGCTCACGTAATATGATCAAAAATCATCAACGTATTCAAAAAAATCCACATACATTCAGAATGTTCCTGAACTTTGAAAGGATCGCCACGGAGCCGTGCGAGTACTTCCGCGAGCTTCAGGTCGTGGTGAGCCAACCTTGTCATGTGACCGTAATTGACCAACCAGATACAGCAAAAGCCGGACTTCATTATACGACCGCAGTTGACAAAAGGTGGAGGTGACAAAACGAGATTAGAAATTTAAACGATGGATGTGTGGTATCTGCCAGTTTTTCAGCATCTAAAAGAAAATATAACTTTTCCTAGATGGTGATTATGTGGAAAATTGGATACGGCGAGTGAATTGTACAAGCAAGAACAATTCTCGTGTGAGGCGAGAGGGGGCGACAGATAGCTTGCCATCAATAGATGCGCAAGGTGCTGCTTTGAAACCCAAACTCTGGTGTCGCACCCTCTTTTGAAACCTTATCTCTACTTGAAACCCCTACTTTGAAACCCAAACTCTAGTTTAAAGCCCCAATTTGAAATCTTACTTTGAAACCCTAACTTTGGTTTAAAACCCCACCTTGAAATCCTACTTTGAAACTAACCCTTGTTTGAAAAACTCACTTGAAACCTCAACCCAAGTTTGAAACCTCGTTCTGAAACCCTAACCCTAATTTAAAACCCTACTGTGAAATCCTAACAGTAGTTTGAAACCCAGTTTTAGACTTCCAACCGGCTCCTGGGCACGGCAGCCTCAACTGTGCAGAAGCTGCTTTGTCGGCAGTGTGGACGAAAGCGAAAAGGGAGGCGGCTGACAGACATTGATGACTTCGAGTTGCAATGCGGACGCTTTTGCACATTTCTGCAGGCTTTGGCCCTGAAACGACCATCGCCGTACAGCGCCCGAGTCGTCAAGAAAAAAAAGAAAATGACGCATGTGGGCCATGGCTGGCGCTATCCAAAGCCCACAAACAAATGGAAAAAAAAAAAGCACAAAAGATGAAACGCTTGGGATTCATCCTGCCTGGGGGCCATTGAGGATGCTAAAAATGGCGGCGACGGCACTGGCACTCAATGAAAAGAACTCATTAGCATAGCAAAAGCTGCTGCAGTCGGCTAAAAATCTCACTTTTGTCCTGGACGCTGTAATCAGTGCTAATGCGAAAGTGTGTGTGTGTGTGTGTGTGTGTGTGTGTGTGTGTGTGTGTGTTGCACATACAAACACACACTGCCATCAAGCATGTGCGTCGGATTTGCGCTCATATTGACGTAATTGCTTCGTCCCACCCTTCATTTGCCATTCCGACGATCCGCAGGAGAAAAAAAAAGTCCAACAACAACAAATGCTAACTTTGCACGCTACCGCGTGTACGTGCAATCAAGCGGTGACTTTCCAAACTTGATTTCCGGCAGCGCAACCCTCGAGGTTGTTATTGTTTGAAAAGGCGCTCCAAACATCTAGGGAGCCGCGTGCTAACGCAACAAACGCAAGAGAGCGGGTAGTCTTCCATAGCTTAACTCTGGGCCAAATGAACTCCCAGCCGGTACCCACAACAAACCGTGCGTGTCCTTATTCTTAGATGACCCTTTGTTTTTGAGATGAGCCAGCTTGTCACCTCTCGAAGTGGAGGACACCCTGCGGAGAGAAAACTCATGTTCTTGTTTCTTCGGTCATGAGCTCAATAACCTGAGCTGGTGCTACTTTTCATCAAGCTGTGCATGCAAATTAGTGTGCTGCCGTGAACTGTCAACATGATGTGAGGAAGAAAAAGGCTTGCTTTGAAATAGACCAAAAACATGCGCGAGGGCTCGCTTGGCATTTAATAAAAAGTAAAACTATGGAAAGGTCAGCTCGGTGAGGCGGCGATGAGGGACGACGCGCCGGCACTTTAATACTTTCAGACTTTGTTTTTTGTTTTTTTGCTGCACATTTGCCAAAAAATCCCATTTGATGCTGCGTTTAACCGCCTGCCACTGAAACCGAAGCCAATCTTTCCACACGTCGACATTTGAAGGGATGAGAGTCGCGCAATTCAGAGAGACATCAAATTCAACTTTGGGGCCTTTGGTTCTATACCGAAAGGTCCTCTCCCGTCCTCGACTCCGTCTCCGAGTTGGAAAGACGAGACACAATGTCGACGGCGCATGGCCCCTTGACTTATGAGTTCAGTTTGGTCCGCGACCGATCTTGCAACTCACTTTTGCACCGCATTTCCCGCTGCAATATATTGAAATGCCAATCATTGCTTGTAGCCCCGCCCACTCTGTATTTTAAAATACAGATGAAATGAACATGAAATAAAGTGGTGGACAGAAATAGACAGATCGATGGATTGATCAACCCACCGATCGATCAATTGGTGAATGCCACTTTAGCAGAGCAAAACGTGAATGTCCGAAAAAGCAAAACGTACAAAAGAAAATGTTTTAAATGGAGAAAGTACGGCTCGACCAAGTAATTGGCCAACCGATTTAAAAAAAAAAAAAAAAAAAAAAAAAAAACAAAAAACATCTGCCTTTTTTTCCTCCTAATTTTC